ATATATATATATATATATATATATATATATACAGGGTGTCCATAAATTTCGCAAGGAAAAGGGTCCGTAAGCCTGAAAAGTAGTCCCACATAATTTTTACAAAAGAAATTAGTATTCCTTCCAATAAATGAGAAGTAAAGAGCGCGCGCGCGACGCCCACAAAACACACACACACACACACATATATATATATATATATATATATATATATATATATATATATATTTTTGTGCTTGGTGTCTGCACCAGTTCACTGTAGTTGGTTCTTTTGCAACAAGGTACCCAAGCGACCCTCTTTGGGTTTTTAAATTAGAGTTGTCATTCTCCTAGACTGTATTCTTTGCATTTGGCTTTTTCCCCGAAAGTGTGCTCCATTGTGGACAAGCTTTCACCAGTAGAATCAAATCATATATGTGAGTGGTCGGAGTGATCGATTCTAAGCACTGACCTTCTCAAGTCTATATATCGGAAAAAGACGGAAGAATTCTTTATACATACATTCGTTGCTACAAAAATTAGTTGTGTCACCTCCATAAATACCTAGTTTGATATTCTAATCCATATTTGACCTATATTTGATTTGAATTCACACTCATACACACCCATATATATACCTATATATATATATAAATCTATATATATATATATAGATAGATAGATTAAGAATTGGACAAAGTCCGACAATTTATTAAAGACATTTTTATGTTTAACATTATTTTATAGATACAAGTATTTAAGTAAATGCTACGGATGATTCAGCAAAATTCTTCAACATTTAAAACCAAATCATATTCGCGCGTACACTGGCTATTCGTTTCGAGGAGCCGAAATAAAAGAACGAAGATTGTATCGATCCATTTTTTTTTGTGTATGATAAAGAGAAATAAAAGCAGGAATATGATTGAAGACTCTTGAAAAGACCACTGACAACTCGACTACGTTTGATTGGCCGGTTCGAAACATTAACAGAATATCTCCTGCAGCTTCTGAAACGGGTATCCGACTGAGCGTAACTTGTTAGCGTCGAAGGATGGCGAGATTTGTATCGGCTGTCGCGTTTCGGAATTTTTCTTGTAGCAAACTAATTCGATTATTTAATAAACTTAATAAAGTAAATGATATTCGCTTCGCTTTCTTGGATGTTGTGCCTGGAGATTCGTTACTGTTAAACCGTCTTTTGGTGTGTTGATGTTTTGTTTTAAACATTCTAGTTCCAACTAAGAGATCCCTCTTTTAGAGAATTGAAAATGGCTGCCATTGAAACAATATCTCTAGAAATATAATTATTACCATGGAAAGTGCCCGGATGAACTGCATCTCCTATTTCTACCTGGTCCGACCTTCACGGCTAGGAACTGCCATGCCACTTACATCGTATCAAACAACCCACATTGCCTCCGTATTCCATCGGCGAGAAGTAAGTTCCACTCAAAAAACTTCTTCCCGCGAACTACTGCACTATTGAACAGATTCCCAAGAGGATGTTTCCCCGATCACTACAATCATAACCTGCTGAAGTCGAGATTCAACCGTTATCTTTTTCTTTTGTCCATATAAACTAGCCCTTAACGTAACCCTCTACCTTGAATGCCCCCCGGGTGTGTGTCTGTCTGTCTAACACTTTTTCACTCGTGATCCATCCAATCGATTTTGACTAAACTTGGGATATACATTGTACAATGTAAGAGATAGGATCTTAGCGTTAAAACAATCAATAATTTTTAAAATATCAATAATCGATAATTCTGGTTATAAATCGATAAATTCAACATTTTTTCGATTTCGTTCAAACTCGATATGTAGGTTACTTGCATCATGTCGAGCTCAATGATACCCCATTTTTATTTCTACGCCACTGTGTTTAGTAAAAATCGAAAAATCGGTTTCTACACAAATCGATTTCAACACAAATTTTAAATTAAAAGATCCTCCAGTTTTCAAGCAATCACTCAATTGAAGCTAACAATAATTTGATTGTCCACCCATATAGTGAAAACTCCCGAAAATATCGAAAAATGGTGATTTTTTACTGTTTTTTTTCCTTATTTTTTGCTGATCTTTCAGCCAATTCTCATCAAACTTAACAATTGCTTTATAAATGTATCCTCTTTTACATCCCTGATAGCACACTGACAAATTGTATTTCAAAACCTCCAAAATAATTGTGGTCTGAAGCGGGTCTTCATGTTGCCTGTTTTATACCCCTTCATATCCTCGGCTAACTTCGACTGAATAAATACAGACTACTTCTGTTATATCAGTAACTGCAATAATTCAAAATGTTTTTTTAATGAAAGTACTTTAAAGTAATTGAAGATAGATTCTGTTACATCTAAACGCGATGTTGTTTTTGCTCTATTCTATTTGAACGCTTTTTTCTGAACGCAGATGTATGGCTGCGAGAAAAATTATATATATATATATATATATATATATATATATATATATATATATGCTGGGACATCATTGTAGGTTAAATTGTGCTGATAGTTCCATCGGTAGCTGATAATGTAGGGCGTCAACTCTAGCTCTGGGTGTTCCTCTTTTTTTATTTTTTTTTATCGAGTTACCATCTCCAGAAAGACTGTTACGCAAGGCTAAAGGTTTCTTTCAAGCCATGAAGTGAATTATCCCACGTCAGACAAAACTTGGAATTTGAATTTCCGCGGTCTGTCTTAGAGGCTCCAGCTCTGAATTTATTCTCAGGTTTTACTCGCCTAGCGTTTTTCATGATTGAGTATGACCTCAAGGCGTCGGAGGTTTAAAATCAGAGTTTTCCTTCTCTTGAAACCATCGTAAGACGTGGTATCTAATAGATAAACATTCAGTCTCCATTTCTATTCTGGCGGCAAACATATTCATTAGTCCAGGGTGTCACGTTCGAACCTCGTTATCGGTAGTTACTCATTTTCTTTTTACTTTGTCCCCGAGCAGACAACGAAATCGTATTATCCTTACTCCTATGACATCCTCCTAGAAGGATCTTCTCAGGAAAATTGACTTTCAGAGACACCATAGAACGAGACCCAGGATCTGGGGACGGCAATATAGCTGTCCTCCCACGTGGGGTCGCAAGTGGCACAAGGCCGAGTTTTACGTGGTCACCTGAGCCCGTAGACCCGGCCAAAAATATAGCCTTCGACCCGCCTAGGCGAGTTCGAGAGCTGTCATAACCTCCCCGAACGAAACCTTGCCCTTCGGCAAAGGTTCGTCCGGGTTCCTCTCTGCTAATGCAGAGAGTTTGACAGACGGCAGTTGCTGTAACTTAATAAATGCCACTGATAACGTTTTTTTTTTTTTTTACCAACAGGATGAAAACTTCTACAACAATTGGATCCAAGCACTGCAACATCGATGCAAGAAGCGCGTGGATCGCAAGGGCGGGGGGACTATATTGAAAAATAAACCTCATATGATCATATTCCATGGTGTTGTGGAGTTATTTCGCAGTGGAGGCTTGTATTTTTACTAAGTCGGTCCTAAATTAGGTTCAACATACAAAACGTTAGGAACTTGATATAATAGGTATTACGCAGAGTAATCTTGTTGTGGTCGCTGACTACTTTCGTATTCGACTAACTGTCGACTACTGTCGTCCGACATCGACTAGTATTTAGTCACCCCGCCATTAGGGCATCATGTGGCACAAGGCCGGTTTAATGTGGGATCTCAGAGACCGTGGGCTCGGCCAAAAATATAACCTTTGAACCCGTATAAACGGGTTCAGGGTCGGTTTACCACCCCGAACGAGACTCCGCCCTTTGGCGTAGCCTCGTTCTGGTTCCTCCCCACCCGAAGGCAGAGAGTTCAACCGTTCAGCCGGTCGTCCGACATCGACTGACCCTCGTTTCTCTTACTACTCCTACTTATATTAGGTGAGAGAGTCTATTAACTATAGAATAGGGGTGTTTCACCATAACACATGGCAGCATGTTGGTCAGCCGCCCAACGTATATCTACCTTGCACGGGCTCCATGCAACAAACATCACAAGATTTGGCGCTCGAACCTCCCATCCACCTTAAAAGTACAAACCTTTCGAACCTTGATTGAACCAGTCCTACTGGATGGATAAGAGTCTTGAACATTAACTCATCGTCTTGAAAGACGACTGGATGGAACATATACAAATCTACTCAGAAAAATCCATAACAAAAACAGGAGATCCCATGCATCGCTTAACACTATCTACGGAGAACTTAGACCACTATCTCTTCAGCTCAAACAAAAACGATTACAATTTGCCGGACACTGCCACCGAGCGGACATGGAACTCCTCTCATTCTTACTTCTATGACATCCTTCTTGAAGTGTCTACTCACGAAAATTAACTTTCCCAAACACCATAGCTCAGGACTCAGTGTTGGACATTGAGACTCTGGGGACAGCAATACAGGACCGAACAGTGTGGAAAAATATTGTCAGTGGAGTTCTGACCAACCATAGGAAGGTCCAAGGATGATGATGGCGATGCTAAATTGAAGCTAGACAGAATTAAAATAAAATAAAACAACTACAGACACTTACCGTGCAGTCATCTAAACAGCGGCACCCATCTTTTCAGCTGGCATAACTTGGACGCAGAATGAGGAAAGTGTGCTTGGTGAATTTGACACTCATAGGGTATATTAAAAGCAGGAGGTTAGTAGAAAGGCAGAGAGTCACCTACATACCGAGCTTGTGTAAACTATTTGCAGAACAGAGACTGAGAGAAATGGGGGAAAGACACAAGCTAGAAAGAATATGTTGATCGAGTTATTCATTTTTACAGCTTATCAACCCTTTCCATGTTATTTAATACCAGAATGTTTTTTAGATTGTAAAATATTTTTTAGATAATAATGGGTTAAGATATAAGTCTCACTATTTAACCCATATCTGGGGAGAGAATTCTCTCTTTTACAAGGCCAAGATAATATAACGAACGCAACGGGAATTAGAACTCGGATCTCCGATTAACAATTTCAAGCCATTAGCCAATGCACCACCGGAACATCCAAGCATACAGCACCTGATTTTCGCAAACGTCATCCACCGAGGTACTGACCAGGCTAGACGTTGTTTAACTTCAGTGATCGCACAGGAATCGGTGTTTCAACCAGATAAGATCGCCATGATCTCCTAGATCCTGAAAGGAAGAGCCACATGGAACAAAAAGTGAAAAGAAAACCTGATTTTGCATTATTCTTATGTTCATAATAAATGCCATTACGGTTTGAACACAAAACCACCCACTTCTTACTAACTCTACCTCACTCCGACCAGAGCTCCATACGGACACTTTTAAACTAACATGGAATTCAGTATCTGTCTATATTTCTGAGATAAGGTATTATGTACATTATTTACATTACTTGGAGTATTGTCCTCATCTTTGTCGTCATATTTATTACAACGTTTCGGCCTTTCAGTATCTGTCTATATTTCTGAGATGAGGTATTATGTGCACTATTTACATTATTCGGACTACTGTCCTCATCTTTGTCGCCATGTTTATCACACGCAGGGCATAGGGGATAAAGGCATTAGTTAGATCCAGTGACAGGACCCAAAGAGTGTGAGTTCAATATCTGGTTAAGGCAGTGGAGAACTTTCAGAGGGGAATTAACAGAAGATAACTGACATCCATTAAAACATGGCACGTGATACTAGAACAGTTTACCCCAGTGAGCGAAATAAAGGATTCAGTTCGACATTCCAGCCACCTGAAGAAAGCCGGAGCGTACAACCGTCGAAACGTTGTGATAAACATGGCGACAAAGACAATAGTCCAAATAATATAAATAGTGTAACATGGAATTGTACTTTACTATACATCATACTTGTCGAATATGATACGTATCTCGTACTGTTAAAAGCGTTTAATAGTGATAAAAATAACCTTATTATTTTAAATAAAATGACCCAACTTTTAATAAGATTAATTATTAACAGTGTCATAATGTGCTGGTTGTATTTGGAAATTAAAATTGCATCTACAGCGGTGGGGGAGTCCGAAAGGTTTGTGATCCCTTCATAATATAACAACGTTCTGTGGGGAAAAGAGTTTCAAATGAACGATACGAGAAAACACATCAGTTGCGAGGAGCCATCGCAATAATCAACAAAAAACAGCTTCGTAAAATATCACACAGGACATGTCGCCACATCATCTTGTGCCACAAAAATAATGATGTTCATACAGACCTTCTCGATGTGTGACAGCGTCAATGATAGTGAATAAAATGAATCAAAATACATGGGCTTTGTATTACTCTATCACTTGCTCTATTGTTCTCATTGCATTTTGGTATGGGGTGACGAGACTTTCGTACCACTCTGTACTTTGCATTTCCGGAGCGATTTCGACTTTGTTCTTTTTTCATTTTCTAGATTTCTTCCTTTCTTTCGTTTTTTTTTTCTTCTTTTCAAACATTTCTGTTGTGGTACGATACACCTAATTTACATAAGTGGAGTACCGACCATATAAATATGGGTTGGTACCGGAAGACGGGAGGAAGTATTAAGAGATCGAATCGAGAGACTCTGCCCGACTGCGATTTAGTCAACCCATTCTGCAGGAAGAGTCTTCCCAAGAATATACCAAAACTAACTGTAAATATTGTGTACCTTTTCCTTGTTTCAATACATTTTGTTTACGTACATTTTGTGTTGTATTATTATTATTCCATGCTTATCCAAGTTTCAACAATTTCCTCCTTTGTTTACATATGATTTACCTGTCTTCCTTTCTTTCTTGTGGAATATATCTTCTACTGTTTCTCGTTCTTTTTCTGCTTTTATTGCGCCTTTTATTCTTAGTCAGGTATTGTACAGATTTGTCCGAAGGTCTTGTCATCCCTACATAATATAACAACGTTCTGTGCGGGGAAGTTATCAAGGAAACATTTTCGCATGAACGATACAACAATACCCATAAGTTGAAGGACGCCGTTCGGAGAGCCTTTGCGACAATCAACAATTCACAGCTTCATAAAATATCACACAGGACATGGCTCCATCTCATTGGCTGCCACGAAAATAAGGATGTTCATACAGACCTTCTCAATGTGTGACATCATCTCTGAAAGTAAATAAATTGAATCCATTACATGTATTTTGTATTATTGTATTACTTGCTCTTCTATTGTTCTCATTATTTTTTGGTAGCGGATAAAAAGACTTTCGGACCACTCTATAGATCAATAATGAATGTATTTAGATAGATAGATAGATAGATAGATAGATAGATAGATAGATAGACAGAAAATTAACAGAATCCGATAGATAGATAGATAGATAGATAGATAGATAGATGATAGATAGATAGATAGATAGACAGAAAATTAACAGAATCCGATAGATAGATAGATAGATAGATAGATAGATAATGAAGATAGACAAAATTACAGAAAGATAAAGATAGACAGATAGATAGATAGATAGATAGACAGAAAATTAACAGAATCCGATAGATAGATAGATAGATAGATAGATAGATAGATAGACAGAAAATTAACAGAATCCGATAGATAGATAGATAGATAGATAGATAGATAGATAGATAGATAGAAAATTAACAGAATCCGATAGATAGATAGATAGATAGATAGATAGATAGATAGATAGACAGAAAATTAACAGAATCCGATAGATAGATAGATAGATAGATAGATAGATAGATAGATAGATAGATAGATAGACAGAAAATTAACAGAATCCGATAGATAGATAGATAGATAGATAGATAGATAGATAGATAGATAGATAGAAAATGAACAAAATCAGATAGATAGATAAATAGATACAGTTCAGCAACCTTAGTGATCGAGGCTCCTGCCATGCGAGCTCTAACAATTTTCTCTTTTTCGAACACGGAGAGGTCACGCATTTTGCTTAAATTTTACTAAATTCTAAAAATAAATAAGGCAAAGACTGTAAATTCGATAAATAAACGTATTTACAATAGATATAACCTTCAATTACGATGTTTTAGTTAAAGTTCTTAATATAATAGGTCTTTGAAATATCGGAGTGGATTTTGCAACTGTTCCAATTATTTTGTCCAACCCCTGTAGATAGATAGATAGATAGATAGATAGATAGATAGATAGAAAATTAACAGAATCCGATAGATATCTAGATAAATAGATAACTAAACAGAAAATTAACAAAATCAGATAGATATGTTGATAAATAGATAACTAGACAGAAAATTAACAAAATCAGATAGATAGATAGAAAATGAACAAAATCTGATAGATAGATAGATAGATAGATAGATAGATAGATACATACATTCATACAGGATGGTCCGAAAGTCTTATCACCGTACATAATATAATTTTCTATTTCAACGCTTTGTGGATTATTATCAACAAGGAAAGAGCTTTATGATTTAGGAACGAAAATGATGATGTTCATATAGATCTTCTCGATGTGTGACATCGTCAATGAAATTGAATAAACTGAATCCATTACATATGCTTTCTATTACATGTCCTTCTATTGTTCTCATTACTTTTCCTAGAGATGACAAGACTTTCGGAAAACCCTATTGATAGATAATGAATGTATTTAGTTAGATAGATATGAACAGACTGAGATAGATAGATAGATAGATAGATAGATAGATAGATAGATAGATAATGAACAGACTGGGATAGATAGATAGATAGATAGATAGATAGATAGATAGATAGATAGATAGATAGATAGATAGATAGATAATGAACAGACTGAGATAGATAGATAGATAGATAATGAACAGACTGAGATAGATAGATAGATAGATAGATAGTGTTGAAGCTTGAATAAGCATGGAATAATAATAATACAACACAAAATGTACGTAACAAAATGTACTGAAACAATGAAAAAAGGTACACAATATTTACAGGTAGTTTTGGTATATTCTTGGGAAGACTGTTCCTGCAGAATGGGTTGACTAAGTCGCAGTCGGGCAGAGTCTCTGGATTCGATCTCTTAATCTTCCCTCGTCTTCCGGTACCAACCCATATTTATATGGTCGGTACTCCACTTATGTAAATTAGGTGTATCATACACAACAGATAGATAGATAGATAGATAGATAATGAACAGACTGGGATAGATAGATAGATAGATAGATAGATAGATAGATAGATAGATAGATAGATAATGAACAGACTGAGATAGATAGATAGATAGATAGATAGATAGATAGATAGATAGATAGATAGATAGATAGATGTTGATCTGACCCCTATATAATATATCAACGCGCTGTAGGTTATTAGCAAGGGGACAATTTCACATGGACGATACCAAAATACCCATTAGTTAAAAGACGCCATTCGGAGAGCCTTTGCAACAGCCAACAAAGCACATCTTCGTAAAATATCACAGGATATGGCGACGCATCATTTTGTGCCACGAGCGTGATGGTGTTCATACAGACCTTCACATGGGACAGCGTCACTGAAAGGGAATAAACTGAATCCAGTACATGTGCTTTGTATTACTTGTTCTTCTATTGTTCTCATTACTTTTTGGTAGGAGGTGAAAAGACTTTCGGACCACACTGTACTTTCAGCATTGCCCAGGGCCAACAGAGGGCGTGTTCACGTCGAGCTTTCCGTAGGATGATTTCTATTATTTGTCAGTCTTTCACCCCACGCGACGCTACACGCAAAAGAAAATCAACCCTGCCTTAAACGCCTCTTACAGATCAAAGACTCGGTGTCTCAAGCCTACCAAATTAGATGACCGCAACTTGCTTCACTGGCATTGATCTCCCTTACACCAGAAGGAAAGCCCACTCCGAACTTGAGAATTTGAGACAGGAAAATTAACTTCGTCGTCGACTCCACAGCTGTGAGCCAATGTCAAGGAGGCTCATGTCAAGTTACAGCTTTCTACATAGTCGAATAAAGGAACAACAAAAGTAAGCGTCTGAACCCCCGGTGTAGACACCTCAACAATATGGAACACGGGCTTTCTAATGAGCCATATGGAGTTTAAAGATTTAAGTCTTAGGACTATAGTTTCTATTCAGGTAGATTTTCTGGATGTCATCCTAAATCTTACTAATAGCTTTTTTCAACCTTATATGAAAGTTAATTCTAGCCCGGTATATGCACACATATATGTATA